AAGTCCATTTGTCGATATTGAAGAACTTACTCCAAAATTTCCAAATCCAAAATATGTTAGTTTGCACCTATCAGAAAACAATAATTATAACCCCATGTTTTTGAATCAAAGATATAAGCAAATTAAATTGGAATATGTTAGGTGTAGCTGCAATAAACATAAACCTTGTGCTATTTGTAATGAAAAATCTACAAAAATATCAATTCCTGACAATACCGAATGCATATTTTTTAATCCATATATCAGGTATTTATTTTATTATTAAATATTTTGAAACTTATTTTTTATAGTAGCTAAATACTAATGAATTTATTGTGTCTCACAAAAAAATCTATATTTACAATCTCGGTTAAAAATATTAATAGTAAAAACCTACAATCAATTGCTTTGGATAGTGAGTGGCTCGATGAGGGTGCTTTGCAAGTTACTGGTAAATAATAATTTACTATACCAATTATTTTTAGAGATTCTTTAAAGTATTTGCTTACTTTATTTTCATTTAAATTTAGCTAAAAAGTATTTTGGTATTATGCGAATTAAACTTATCGGAGCTAAAAATCTCATATCTACCGACCTTTAGTTTGGTGACGGCAGTCCCGATTCTTATGTAAAAATTAGCAGTGTATTTACTGGTGTGGAATATGACAAAACTCGTGTGGTTTATAAATCAATCAAACCAGATTGGCAACAAGTGTTTCACATACCAATTAATGATCTTAATGATCAATTCTTTTTGTTGGAAGTTTATGATTCTAATGCTTTCTCCAAACATAAACTTTTGAGGTATTATGTTCTCGATATCATGGACTTTATGGAGGTTCGTGATGGGACCATTAAAGGAAAGCATTTAGATCTTAAGTGTGATTTGACATTAAATGGATCTAGTAGTGGAAAGCTTCATTTTACTGCTGATTTTTATTCCTTAACAACTCCAATTTCTAAAAATACCATCACTATCAATCATTTATATCTTTTGATAACTTATCAACGTCAAGATGGTTGTTTTGAATTAACAGATGATGTGGCAAACTTATTTAATTTTCCTTCCAAAGATGATCTGATAAAATCATTTGTCGCTTATGCACATAATAATGAAGTAGCAAAAGAACTTCATGTCGATGTTTGGAGTTCGGCACTAATTACTGGTAACTTCACGATTATGTTATATAAATTATCTGATTCAATTCAATTAATAAACTTAATGATTATCTCTTGAAATTCATATCGTATAGCATTCCTTAATGCTTTATTATGGACTCATGAACGAGAGTGGAGGACAGTTTACGCAAAAACTGAAACTTACTTAAGCGAAACTGTCACCGATCTTGAAACTAAAGAACGATTATATAGCTTGGCTAATAATTTTGTCATTGATCACTTTAAGGTCTCTGAATGGGAAAATGAAGATCAAAAGAGGAGTCTCGGTATCAGTGGTACGTTTATAACATTTCTATTTGTTCATTCGTTCATTCTTTTTTTTTTTTTAAAAAAAAAAAGATGCAAGTTTTATTCATTTATTTATTTTAATCATTAGTCGTATCAAAGAAAATAATTATCACTCGTCGTACTGTTACCGTACGTCACGTACGTCGTTATATGAGCTATCAAAAAGACACGGGATGTTTCGAACTTACCAGTTGTATGTCCGAATCTCTTGGATTCAGTTCAGCTGAGGAGGCGAAGAAAAATTTCGAAACACATTTTGCTACTTATGCAA